ATTAAGATGAGGTCATTAAGGTGAGCCCTAATGCAGGATCATGGGTGTCCTTGTAAAAAGAGGAAATCTGGACACAGAGAATTGCACACAGGGAGGACATTGTGTGAAGAAAGAAGTTATGCTGCCATCAGCTAAGGAAGCACCAGATGCTAGGAGAGAGGCCTGGACTGGTTCCTTCTAGCCCCTTCAGAGGGAGCATGGCCTTGCCAACATCTTGATCTCAGACTTCTGGCCTCCAGAGCTGTGAGACTAGCTGCTTTTGTTGCTTTTTCCAAGCCATCCAGTTTGTGGTACTTTGATACAACAGTCCTAGCAGAGTGATACACCACTTGACAGGGGTTATGTTCTAAGACTTTGGCCACCTGATGTGAAGAGCCAACTCATTGGAAAAGACCCTGTGCTGGGAAAGATTGAGAGCAAAAGGAGAAGGGGGCAGCAGAGGATGAGATGGTTAGACAGCATCACTGACTCAATGGGCATGAGTTTGAGCAAACTCTAGGAGATAGTGAAGGACAGGGAAGCCTGGCGTGCTGCAGTCCATGGGCTCCCAAAGAGTTGGACACAACTTAGTGACCGAACAACAAAGAGTAAAATACGTAAAGTTGCTGACACAACATGTACACTGAATAAATTCAGTTCAGATCAGTTCAGTCCCTCAGTCGTGTCCAACTCTTCACGACCATGGACCACAGCACACCAGGCCTCTGCCCATCACCAACTCCCAGAGTTTACTCAAACTCATGTCCATTGAGTCAGTGATGCCATCCAACCATCTCATCCTCTGTCATCCCTTTCTCCTCCTGCCTTCAATCTTTCCCAGCATCAGGGTCTTTTCAAATGAGTCAGCTCTTTGCTTCAGGTGGCCAAAGTATTGGAGTTTCAGCTTCAGCCTCAGTCCTTCCAATGAATATTCAGGACTGATTTTCTTTAGGATGGACTGGTTGGATCTCTTTGTAGTCCAAAGGACTCTCTAGAGTCTTCTCCAACACCACAGTTCAAAATCATCAATTCTTTGGCACTCAGCTTTCTTTATAGTCCAACTGTCACATCCATACATGACTACTGAATAAATTATGCTGGGAATATTACTTTACTTTTCTGAGTCTTAATTTTTTAACAATAAATAAAGAAATGCAATATAGTGGGGCTGTGTGACCATGGAAAAATTCCATAATCTCTCTCTCTGCCTTAGTTTCCTTACCTACATAAGGGTAGTGATGAGAGCACCTATTTCATTGGTTTTTGTGAGAATAAAATCAGCTCAAATGTGGAGCACACTCACAACAGCACCTGGCACATAGTAAGTTCTCAATAAATGGGATGATGATGATGAAAACGATATAAAATGAGAAGGAAGAACAAGATGGTCATTTCTCCCAGGTGGTGCTAGTGGTAAAGAACTTGCCTGCCAAGGCAGGTGGTGCAAGAGACACAGGTTCGATCCCTGGGTCAGGATGATCCATTGGAGAAGGAAATGGCAACTCGCTCCAGTATTTTAGCTTGGGAAATTCTATGGATAGAGGAGCCTGATGGGTCACAAAGAGTCGGACACAACTGAGCAACTGAGCAGCAGCAGCTAAAAAAAACCAGATACTACAATTGCTTTTAAAATGGTCAAGGTAAAGACATCCTCTTCTTTTCCTGTAGCTTGGCTACAGTGAGAGACTAGAGAGAAAAGGCAGACTTTTCTATGAGGTCCAGAAAGAGAAGGCTGTCTAGGGAGCCCTTAGGTGCCTTTGACAATGGGTTGAGGATCCATCTCTCAACTGGCAACTGCCACCAGGCCTGGCGTTTGTCTCTTAATGGTTGCTTACTCATGAGTGTCTTAGCGTGAGGGCCCCTAGGGTGCATGAGTAGAGACAGATGGCCTTGAGAATCCATCACTCCGGTGATGATGCTTCCCACCTCAAGCGCCCGGGTGAGCCAAGGAGGGCAGGGGTCTGGGGAGGTGCCACTCAGCCCGCTGTGCTGAACAACCCCAGGGAGCACTACGGACAGGGAAGGTGACAGTGACAATCTCTGGGTCTTGCTGTGATTGGAGGACCAGCCCCGCCCACGCTGAGCTCAGGAGGCGGGGAGGATAAATCTGCCCTCTTTTATTGATGCCTCTGCCTCGTCCTCCCAGAGAAATCTGATTATCTGGGCTATGCTGGCAGGTGTCAAAATGAAATGTCTGCTCCCAGATCTCCACTGGGGGTGGTGGTGGTGGTGGTGGCTGGGGCCAGCTTCTGCCTTTCTGTCAACCAACCATCATTAATCCCCCTCTCTTATTGTCGATATCTGATGTCACTTTTTCTGGTTTATGTGGCTTCGTGACCTTCCCTTATTTTGTTCCTAATAAAGACAGCTCTGGGGGGCTGGGTCTGTGGTGAGCCCCGTATAATTCAAGGAGCGTTAAATCAGAGGGAGCCCTTTCAGACAGCAGGCAACTCCTGGGGTCAGCGCCTCGGGTCTCTGGCCACTGTTGCAGCATGTTCCTGTGGCTGTGATGTGGTGCTTCCTTCATGGGAGTTTCTCACTTTCTCTTTGTAAGTGTGCCTTTCAGAAGGTTCTGGTTTGGCTGCTCCTAGGGGGCACCCTGGGCTCCAGAGTTATGGCTCCTGTAGGTGCCCTTGTTGCTCCTAGGCACATGCACACATGCAAGCACATACACACAGTCCTTCCTGGCTTCCCCATCTCTGTCTCCCAAAGCCAGAAGCTTCCTGCTGTCAGAGCTAAGCCACAGAAGTTCTCAACCCATGTCATGTACTAGTATCACCCAGGGAGCTTTAAAAAACACAGATGCCTGGAGAAAGCATCCTAGGCACTTCACAAAAGAGGCTACCTAAGTGGCCAATAAACACATCCAGATGCTTAGCTTCACTGGTCATCTGGGAGATGCAGAGCCAGGCACAGTGAGACCCTACTGCACACCCTGCAGGTTGGCTAAAACGAAACAGATGATACCAAGTTCTGCCTGGGCTGTGGAGCAACCAGAGTGCCCATACACCACCGGCGTGCATTTAACGTGCACGGTTACACAGCAGAAGAGTGTTTGGAAGCATCTAAACTGAATAACAACAGACTGGTTCCAAATAGGAAAAGGAGTACGTCAAGGCTGTATATCGTCACCCTGCTTATTTAACTTACATGCAGAGTACATCATGAGAAATGCTGGGCTAGAAGAAGCACAAGCTGGAATCAAGATTGCCAGGAGAAATATCAATAACCTCAGATATACAGATGACACCACCCTTATGGCAGAAAGTGAAGAGGAACTAAAAAGCCTCTTGATAAAAGTGAAAGAGGAGAGTGAAAAAGTTGGCTTAAAGCTCAACATTCAGAAAACTAAGATCATGGCATTTGGTCCCATCACCTCATGGGAAATAGATGGGGAGACAGTGTCAGACTATTTTTTGGGGGGCTCCAAAATCACTGCAGATGGCGATTGCAGCCATGAAATTAAAAGATGCTTACTCCTTGGATGGAAAGTTATGACCAACCTAGATAGCATATTAAAAAGCAGAGACATTACTTTGCCAACAAAGGTCCATCTGGTCAAGTCTATGGTTTTTCAAGTGGTCATATATGGCTGTGAGAGTTGGACTGTGAAGAAAGCTGAGAGCTGAAGAATTGATGCTTTTGAACTGTGGTATTGGAGAAGACTCTTGAGAGTCCCTTGGACTGCAAGGAGATCCAACCAGTCCATCCTAAAGGAGATCAGTCCTGGGTGTTCATTGGAAGGACTGATGCTGAAGCTAAAACTCCAGTACTTTGGCCACCTCATGTGAAGATTTGACTCACTGGAAAAGACCCTGATGCTGGGAGGGATTGGGGGCAGGAGGAGAAGGGGACGACAGAGGATGAGATGGCTGGATGGCATCACCAAGTTGATGGACATGAGTTTGAGTAAACTCTGGGAGTTGGTGATGGACAGGGAGGCCTGACAGGTGTGCTGTGATTCACAAGGTCGCCAACAGTCGGACACAACTGAGCAACTGAACTGAACTGAACTGAAGCTAAATAAACACATACCCTGCCCCACTTCGGTCCAACACTTTCCTAGGTGTGTATACACAGAACGGCATACACATAGTTATCTAAACCCACCCCTAGTAGCATTCCTCATAGTAAACCAAACCATAAGGGTTTCATATGCTCATCAACCAGAGAACTGAGAAATAAAGGGTGGCATATTTATACAATGAGATTCCAGAGCACACTGAGAATGAACAGATAGCATTACAAGCCACAACTGGAATGGCTCCCACGAACAGAATATGCATAAATGAAGCCAGAATCACAACAGGTACATAATATCAAAATTCCATTTGTATGAAGTTCGCAGACAGGCAAAACTAACCCAAAATGTCAAAAGTGGGGATGTTGGTTTAGTTTAGGAGGGGTGCGAGGGGGATTGCCGGTGACCAGCAGGTCTGTTTCTTGACTTGAACATGTGTGTATTCAGTTTGGGAACAGCCATCAAATATGTGCATTTAGGATTTGCCCACTCTTCTAGAAGAATGTTATGTTTCAATTAATAGGCTTAAAAATTTACTAATACCCAGACTCTGCCTTCAGAGATTCTGACTTCATTAGTCTGGGACTCAGCCCTGGCATGGGTATTTTTAAGTTCTACCGAAGTGTAGCCTTGGTCTTCCTGGTGGCTCAGATGGTAAAGAATCTGCCTGCAATGCAGGAGACCCAGGTTCGATCCCTGGGTCGGGAAGATCCCCTGGTGAAGGGAATGGCTACCCACTCCAGTGTTCTTGCCTGGAGAGTTCCATGGAAAGAGGAGTCTGGTGGGCTACAGTCCATGGAGTCGCAAAGAGTGGGACACGACTGAGCGACTGACACCTTCTATAAGTGTAGCTAGAGCTGAGGGTTTAGAGAGCGGTGTTTGGAATCAGAGGCAACAAGCCTAGAAGACTAGTTCTCCCATCAACTTGCTTGTGTAAGTGACCGAGTCTCTCTGGATCTAGTTCTTCTTTTATCTTCAGGTCTGTTTCCCCCGAGGGGACATGAGAGGGCTGGACAAAGGACCCAATTACACCGAGAAGACGCCACCGGGGAGAAACAATGAGAGCTACGGGGACTCGCCTCCTTTGGCTTGTCCCCTTGCCCCCTCCCTGTGGCTGGGAGCCCTGTACATCTTGTACATCAACGCAGACCATTTTGACGGATGGAAGCACAGTGGATCCCTTGGCTCTGGAGGACTCTGCTACATGAAGGCCAAATAGTGCCCCCACTTCCACCACTGAGAGAGGAGTGAGCTTCCACTGGTTTTTATAATCACAACTTCCCCACTTGTCTGTTTCCAACCTGCTGTCATGAGAAAAGGGGGTGGGGTGGGGGTAAAGAAAAATGAGGGAGGGATTGTCAGCTTTCCCCTTTGTCCAGGGAGCTTTCTCAGCCTTCGATATTCCTAACTCTTTAGCATCTCCAGCTGAATCCCAAAGACCTTTAATTCTGGATTTGCTCTGCCAGCCAGGGAGAAGTGTGCTTTCTTCACTTCCCACCCATATCTAGGGGTTGAGGACTGTCCCCGGGTACAGAGTCTAGAACCCCACCGGTTCAGCTGAAATACTCCAGTTCGATAAAGCAAGCAGCAGGGAGCCAAGGAAAGCCAGGATGCAGATGTTGGCAAGCTCCGCCACCTTGAGAAAATGTCATCCCCCGAGCAGGGTACGGGGAAGGGGCCAAGCTCAAAAGTTTCCTGCTCCTCCTCTGAGTTCACTGAGAATTCCGTTCCCACATTAGTCATCTGAATGTTTAAGAAGATGACAGCTGGGCTCCCAGATGGGGAAGTGGAGGCAAAAAGGATGTGGGGGACGACTGCCAATCAGGCGATGGGGCGGTTGTCTGAGGAGGTGAGCCCTTCCTCATTTGCCTCTTCTCAGGAAGCGTAGGCGGGGGCCTTCACCTCAGCACTTGCCCCAAGCTTAGCAGCCCCAGGGCTAGGGAGGGTCGTGGAGTGGAGGTTGAGTATGCCCTTTAGTGACCAAGAAATGCATAGTTAACCAAAAGTCTTCACACAGCCCACACAAGCAAATATATATTTAGTGGAAGTTAAGGAAGGCGACATCGCACAAGTCAGCCTCCGCCACGACTGAAGCGTTCCTCTGAGAGAGAAGGGGATGTGTGTTTTGCCACGGCCAGTGGAGCTGAAGTACTTATCAGGTGTGAGGCGAAAATTCCATCTGCTTCAAATGCCATTTGCAGTTGTTTATCACCCCCGGACCTAAAATGTTTGCAGTTAAAAACTGAAGGAGGACTTTAGGCAGGCCTGGTAAAGACCAGTGTGTACTCCTAGAACATCAGCAAAGACTCATGCATATTTGCTGGGCATTCTACGCACGTGGGGAAAAAAAAAGACTAAGGAGGACACGGTGAATAGAGAGAGACACACACAGTGACAACCACTGAGGGAAAGATGGACAGACAGACAGACACACACAGAGGTGAACACAGAGAGAGACGGGCACCTAGAAGCAGAGAGAGAGAGGGATGGTCTTCCATGCCCACAGTTCAGTTCAGTTCAGTCGCTCAGTCGTGTCCGACTCTTTGCGACCCCTATGACTGCAGCACGCCAGGCCTCCCTGTCCATCACCAACTCCCGAGCTCACTCAGACTCATGTCCATCGAGTCGGTGATGCCATCCAACCATCTCATCCTCTGTCATCCCCTTCTCCTCGCACCTTCAATCATTCCCAGCATCAGGGTCTTTTCAAATGAGTCAGTTCCTCACATCAGGTGACCAAAATATTGGAGTTGCAGCTTCAGCATTAGTCCTTCCAATGAATACTCAGGACCACAGAGCAAAATGTAAATCCACGGAGAAGGATAGAAGATCGATTGACACCACAGGTAAGCGGACAAGTCCTGTTTTTGTCACCTCTTCCCCTCCAGCACTAGAGGTCCCCTGGCTGCCTCCCTTGCAGAATCCAACGGTCCAGACACTTTAACCTCTCCTTCTCCTTGCTCCAGACCCCTGTGTCCATAACTACACTGTGATGAGTAATCCCCCAAACCCCTGTGTATTCTTCACGTAAACCCATTTGGCTGAAATTGAGGCTTTTTACTGGAGGACCTGACGTACATGGCTCTAAGCTCACCTGTGGAAGGGAAGCAGATCATCAGGGCCAGCTGGTTGGTGGGTTTCCTGAGGGCTAGTGAGCAGAATCATGGTCCTCCCGGAGTGTCTGAATCATACAGCCCTGTAGGATTTGGGAGAGGGGACACTGATAGAACTGCATGTCCCAAGGGTGGGGACAGACATGCAAGCCAAAGTGAGAGAGGACCTGAGGCTATTCAGGTTGGCTGGAGATGGAAATGGAGTCAGGGAGAGGGGAGTCACTTAAGGACTGATAGTGACAGAAGAAAACTTTCTACTAGATCACAGTTTAGCCTGTGAAGGCACGTGGGGCCCTGAGGGAAAGAGACCATCAGTGGCTAAAAATCTCTCACTGGTGTTGGGAGTGACTTGAAGGACCTTTGCATCTGTTAAGATGCTTTGAGCTGTCAGTAACAGAGTATCTATTGAAAACAATATTTATTATCTATCTAACAAAAATCTCAACATTCAGAAAACTAAGATCATGGCATTTGGTCCCATCACTTCATGGCAAATAGATGGGGAAACAGTGGAAACAGTGTCAGACTTTATTTTTGGGGGGCTCCAAAATCACTGGAGATGGTGATTGCAGCCATGAAATTAAAAGATGCTTACTCCTTGGAAAGAAAACTATGACCAACCTAGATAGCATATTAAAAAGCAGAGACATTACTTTGCCAACAAAGGTCCATCGGTCAAGGCTATGGTTTTTCAAGTGTTCATGTATGAATGTGAGAGTTGGACTGTGAAGAAAGCTGAGAGCTGAAGAATTGATGCTTTTGAACTGTGGTGTTGGAGAAGACTCTTGAGAGTGCTTTGGACTGCAAGGAGATCCAACCAGTTCATCCTGAAGGAGATCAGTCCTGGGTGTTCATTGGAAGGACTGATGCTGAAGCTGAAACTCCAGTACTTTGGCCACCTCATGCAAAGAGTTGACTCATTGGAAAAGACCTTGATCCTGGGAGGGATTGGGGGCAGGAGGAGAAGGGGACGACAGAGGATGAGATGGCTGGAAGGCATCACCAACTCGATGGACATGAGTTTGAGTAAACTCTGGGAGTTGGTGATGGACAGGGAGGCCTGACAGGCGTGCTGTGATTCATGGGGTCACAAAGAGTCGGACACGACTGAGCAACTGAACTGAACTGACTGAACAAAAATCTAGAGATAGACCATTTCAGACTATCCACATCTTGATGGGGAGTTGTCAAAAGATAAATTTGAAAATAATGTTGCTCCAGATAACTAAGTTTTGGGGTGACTTGTTACACAGTATTCTTGTAACCGTGACTGACTGATACACTTCTAAAATCACATCTTGCTAGGAGTTAGCCACTCTTGTGAGGTTGGCCTAGTCTGGAGGAAATGGAACTAGAGAAAGGGCTTCCACGGGGGCCCCCCTGCCCCTGTGGTCGCTCTCCTCCCATCTTTTTTGCCCCTCCTCGATCACCCACTAGGCTGACGGAGGCTGCAGGAGCCCCTCCGCCCTTCACCTCTTACTCCTCTCATGTCGTTCAGTCCCTCTGCTGCATCTGCTCTTTGCAGACTCCTTATTACGGCCAAGGCTGCACAATCCCTGGTGGGACCTCCTCCCCTGTGGCTCACAAAGCCTTCTCTCTGGACCTATTTTCCTTAAAAATTCATCTCTTTGTGTCACATGGTTCCAAAGAAGCTTTCTCAAGCTAGAGGCCAGCTGCTTGGAAATCCCACCCACCAGCCAATTTGCTGAGGCAATGAAACATTATCTCCTGCCTTTTCCCCGAGTGCCTTCGACACTTTTAATCTTTATCCATCAGCCTTCTCTGGACAGCCTTCCACAGCTTGCCTGCTCCCCACTCCAGCCTCTGTGCTTATGGAGTGGTCTCGCTTCTGGTTTCCACTCCTTACTGATTGTAGAGCTCTATTATGCCCTGAATTCCGAGAACGCCCTGGCACGGTGCCCGAAACAAGGGCTGCACCATCCTGGGCCTGCTCTAGAGGGTGTGCACATGCACAGGGGGGCACAGATGAGAAGCACAGATATGCCATTAAAAGTTACTACAGGGCTTCACGTTTCAAAAGATGCTTCTTGAGCACCTCCTGTGTGCAGAGCAAGGTGCTGGGCACTTGAGAGGCCACAGTGGCCCAAATGGATGGAATCCCCTCTTTGAGAGCTTCCAGCTGAAGTTCTTATAGGATTCTGTGCCGAGTACGGAGGTATCCAGTAAGCAGGAGTGCATCTCCCTGAGGGCAGGTGTGGTCAGTGCTCCCCCCAGGCACTGTGCCAGCTCATGCCTGTGGGGCCCCATTCAAGCACCTGTGACCCAGCTCAGGGCTTTCTCCTCCCCATGCACAGAAGGACCCCAACTTCCAGGGGGGCTAATGGGCCCAGCAGTGTCCAGGGATGTGCTGAAGCTGGAGGATGAATGTCCTGGCATCCTCGCCTTCGGGTGGGACAACCGAGAGGCTGCTCTAATGCAGCAGCCAGGAGGTCCCCAGTGGGATGGGGACCACTTCTCCACAGTGGAAGCTGCTCAGTAACACACCCACAGGTAGCTCCCATTCCCTCCCCACCTTACTTCCCCACATCCCTGTGGGTGCTTCCAGGGCTCACATCCCAAACAAACTACTTGCCTGCCAATGGAGCAGACTTGGGTTCGAGTTCGATCCCTGGATCGGGAAGATCCCTTGGAGAAGGAAATGGAAGCCCACTTCAGTATTTTTGCCTGGACACTCCTGTGGACAGAGGAGCCTGGTGGGCTAAAGTCCATGGGAATGCAAAAGAGTCAGACATGACTTAAAGACCAAATAAACTACTTGCATACAAATCCACATCTCAGGGTCTGCTTTGGAGGCAACCCCCAATAAACATAATAATAATGGTAATTATTATCATTAGTAGTACAGTAGTAGCAGAAGATTGAGGCCACACGGTGTGCCTGGCCCCTCTTAAACTCCAGTGCCTCAATGTGTGTGTGCATGCATGCTAAGGCGCTTCAGTTGGGTCTGACTTTCCACAACCCCATGGACTGTAGTCCACCAAGCTCCTCTGTCCATGGGATTCTCCAGGCAAGAATACTGGAGTGGGTTGTCATGTTCTTCTTCTTCCTGACCCAGGGACTGAATCCTCATCTCCCCTGTCTCTCG